GTCTGTCCGTCTGTCTGTCTGTCCGTTTTTGTTGTTTGTTCGTTCGTTTGTTTCTTTGTCTTTTTTTGCATATGTATGATGCATTATTCACAACTGTTCATCACATGCACGACCCAGCGTGCTTTGGAGGCAGACGGCCTCCCATTGGCTGCCACTTCTTGTCGCGCCCAGGGCGGAATTCCGTCCTTGGAGTCCCCAACTGCAAACTTCGACCATCTTGCAGAGGTCTATGCTGCACCTCTCAAGTTCTGGGTGCTGTCACAGCCGAGTTACTCTGCAGCTGCAATCCGCAATCCTACCTTAAGGGACCAGTTGGGATTCCTGCGGTCATGGGCTCGGATCAGATCAGGCTCACCGCCAAAGTGGAGGAGCTGCAGGGACCATTGCCAGCTGTGGGTTGCGCCTTGAGCAACGGGCTCTCTCATGTCTTGCCAGAGCTTCAACGGGGATGAATGGTGGCAAACGGAGTACTCAAAATTCCCACTCCACATCTGACCAAGACAGCGGTGACAACCATGCTCTTACATCCTATATATACACAGCGTACTGTACTTAAGTCCCCATGCAATTGCCCCCTTTGCGTTGGACCTTGTACCGTCGGGCCCGGTAGATTCGTAGCATCTAGAAGCCTGAGAGTCTCTGGGCACAGCACAGTCTCGGAGGACCTCATTGCCAAAGCGGACGTCTGGCTGCAGTGCAGTGGCTGGCAGCTGCTGGAGGACCTCATGTAAGATGTCTTTGCGTGCCAGTCATGCTCTCTAAGCTTCGGGAAGGCGAAGTCTTGCCACGAACTGTCGCCGGCAGCTTCGTTGAAAGGCATCCGGGGTAGTTTGGCAAAATGCTTTTGAAGCAGAGAGGTGTTCAGAACTGAGCTCACAGTCCAAATCGGGCATGCATTCAGAGCCTGGGGAAAACGAGATCCGGACCTGGAGTGCGATGGACCAGTAGCCAAAGCCTTGGTTCGACTCAACCTGAGACCTTTCCGGCTTCGTCTCTCGCACCGGCTTTCTGGTAAGGTATAGGCGCACATGAACATGAAAATGAATTTAAACATGTAGGTGTGCGTGTGTGCTGATTCAATTCATAGTGTGAACCTTGCAAACAGGCACCATCTGCAACCACAGGCTTCTTTTCATCTCTAGTGAGTCTCTACTGTCTCTCCTGACTTCTATCGATCCCATTTGCCCCATCAGGTCTTGCAATCGGTAAGCTGCTCGAGCGCTCTCGAACATGATTTATAAAGTAGACTCGGAAGGAGAGGATCCTTCGCAGTTACAGACACACTCAAGCGAACCCCTGAGGATTTACGTACTGCCGAAGGGGCCCAGCACGGATGCCCGGCTCGCATTGTCTCTGCCTTGGCTGAAACAGAAGAGGCCTACGAAAGCGCGAAGCAGAGCTGGAGACATTGGCTCCATGCTACATCTTCCGGAAAAGCCATGACCCTGGACAAACATAACTAGCTAAGGTCGGTGCAAGAGCCGCGAGACATGCACGTGCTGGCAGGCACTAGCCCAGGCTTGTGCTCGCCTGTGCTTGCATATTGAGTCCTACAGCATCGGTACGATGCAGCGAATACAGAGGTCACCAATCGTCTACTTCAGCAGAGCTGCAGTCTCTTGTCAGCTGCAAAGCCCATCGCCAAGGCTGACAACCTCTCGAAAAAGCATGGCCGGGTCTGGTGCATATGTTGTTGCACTAACTGCATTCGGCGATGCTTCAACCAGAAAGTGATGAACTTCAGCCTCTGTCAAGGCACAAGGCATTCAACGTTTCACCGCGGCTACACAAATCCTTGCACCCTTCGTCAGCTGCTCTAAAACAGCCTTCCCTCGAATAAAAACATTTAGGATCGCATCGTAAGTCTCGGCTGGTCCATCTGCCAGGGAGCTGGCAGCTGCGCCATGGCTCACAAAGGTCGGCCTGCAGGAGGTTCGCTGGACAGCGACAATGTTGACTGTGCCGTCCATGCTTGGCTATGTCATGGAGTTATCCAACCCATCCTAGCAGCATGAAGGCTCTCGCACATCAAGTGCGTATAGTTGTTCCAGCCCAACCGGTGATTCGCCAAATGCAAGTCTGACGTCTCAAGCCGAGCATTGAGCTGAACAATGTTTAGACACAAGAGCCATTTGTCAACTGCATGCCAAACTTTTGTCCATGTGCCAGGCCTGTAAGATAGCCGGGGCAAGCTGGCAAGCAGATGCCTCGAACAAATGCTCTAATGACGGGTCTTCTGTCTTCTCATATACAGCTTTGAAGCAAGATCAGCAAACACAACGCGAGAACATGTGGACCATGTGCTGCTGTGCACTTGTTGCACATGTCTCGTCTTTACAAAGCGCATGCCTTACCGAAGCTCAGAGAGCAGTTTTGAAGCCTTCGCCTAAAAACCGGCATTGTGAGCGTTTACACCGACCGTCTGCTCTTCGTGCAACGTCGGCAATAGCAGCATTCAATAGCAGCCTGGATAATGTAGTGATGAGTGCGAAAGCATGAACTGGCGCTCCAGCATAGCAGCTATCGGGTGCTCCTCCCTTGCATACCCCCGCTGCCTGCAGTAATACAGAGGTCTGAATACTTAATATCATGATCCCCATACAGTTCCTGTGCAACTATACTAGCAGCCTAAGTGTATACTAGCAAAGACCAGAAGCCTGTTAAACAAGTATTTAGGCCCGTATGTTAATTATAGGCTGGAGCTCCGACCGTCCTCCGAAACTAAATTTCGCGAGAGCAACAAAGCAAGCGTCCAGTCAGCGCAGCCTGGACGAGGAAGGAGATTCCCAGATTCCCAGGAAGTCTCGCAAAAAAACGACAAGGCAGTCTTAGTGTGATATTGCCGATTACCAATAATATCATCTGTCTCGGACTTTCCACCTGCTCTCTCGTTCGCACGACAGTGCTTGCCGCCCAAGCTTCATCTTACTCCGACTCCTGCCCCGATGAAAAATCAAACCTAACTTCCGCTTCCACGATGAAACCGCCTTGAGAGCTTCCCATGAGTGAGTTGAAGGAGACCACATCCTCGGGATTCAGAAGCGAAGTGTTCTTCACGGGCTTGTTGGCCCAGCCATTTCACGGGACATGGACTCTCTTTCTTCAAACCTGATCCTCATATCAATGTACGTTCAGGATCCACCACGAAAATGAAACTATGACTGTTGAAACCGGAACACTCACATCTTCACTGCTTCCAGTCTGTTGCGGGCCAGGGATCTGGCCACACATCCAAGTCGCGCATCCGCTGTAGAAGCCCTGCACTGCAGTGGCTTCTGGAAACAAAGTTGCATGCAGCGTGCCAAGTATCTCCTACTGCTGGTTGATAATTATCGGACACGTACCTAAGGGCATTGAATAAGGGACTCTGCTTGGACACATGCCAAGAACCTGGGACTCTGGTGGACCCGCTCATGCCAGATCCACAAAACTGTGCACACGCCGGGGCCGATGTTGATGCGTGTACAATGGCCGGTATACCTACATAGGTTTGTATGATATATAAACATATGTATCTATACACACCTATGTGTATGCATGTATGTATGAACATATGTATAACTTAAAAACGAATAAACAACCAAATCAGTAAACAGATATATGAAATAAATATATCTGTATAAACGTATTGATAACTGTACATAGTCATGTATATAGCCCTAACCCCAGCACTATAGTTAGTATGTTTGCTATTTTATACCGAGCTAAGGGGCTGTTAAGCGATGGACTAACTGTAATGGGACACTCACTGATCACACTGGGATAGCTCCATCTGTAGCTCTCAAGGTAGGATGTCATGACAAGTTGCCTTCTCCTGCGCTGGCGGCGGCTCTGCGTTGGAGCAAGCACAGGCACCACTACAGCAACACTTGCCAGTATGCCAAACGCTAGGAAATGGAAATGCTGACTGAAGCATACTGCCTGCACTCTGGGCCCAGTTGTGACGGCCGCTTGGGGCCAAGGCGGCATTGAATGTCCTGAAAGCTTGGCACAAGCACTTTCGGTACCGACCTCTCAACTTCACCACGATGAGTTGACAGCAAATGTCCTGCTTGGAGGATCTGACCAAACTTGCGACGAACTGCATAGAACACAAGCGGTCCTTAAGACATGTCGCAGAATTCCCCAACCCGATACACCAGAATTAAGACCGACCTCTCCGTTGGGTGAAGACGCTGCGCCAAAGTGTGCAAAAGGATCTCGACGGCAACGGCCCAGCACCCAGCTTCCTAAAGCAGCAGCTTCGCCGCGACTACACATGTCACATCTCGGGAATCAAGCACCTGCTAGCCTGAAAATGATCCCCGCCAGGTGGCGACGCTTGCTCTCATGACGCCAGCGCTGAGTATCTCATGTTGGTGCAGGCCAGGATTGCGCGGGCCAGAAAGGATGTTCACCTCGCAGCTCCGGAAATTTCTATAAACGTGGGAATTCTAATGAAAGACCAGCGCAAGTCGTGCCGGTAAGACAACCAGGTAGCCTCTGAGCAGACTCTTCCAGTGTATGTAGGTCCATGGTGTGAGGAAAGAACAGCATACCTGTTGACGGGCAATGCTCGTGCACTCAGGTTGCAATGGCGCGGCAATCAACTGTGCCGGCCGACAGCTGGACATAGCTCTGCAAGCAATAAAATGTATGCATGTATGTATGTAAGCAAGCATGCATGTACATGTACACAGAATACAAATACACGTAAGCGCACCTTTCTGTATGTATGCATATATATATATACACACACACGACTTGGGTGTGCATGGAAACCTTTTGTTACCCAATAACTGCGCACGCCCATGTCCACATGCAGCAGATCAACAGCCTGGGTGAGGTCATGACACATGCCAGCTGTTGACATTTAACTAATTATCATCATTCACAACATATGTTCTACAAGCACTACCACATTTACAAACCCGCGAGGACACTATGTGCCCATCAAAGAAACATACAAGAAGCATCTGCGACAGGGCGACTGCAACGCGCCACTGTCCTTCTTGCTGGCCCGCAACAATCGCCTCATCTTTGCAAGTCTTCAAAGGGAAGGGTACACATCACGAAAGGCTAGCACGAAGCAAGCCTTGGATGTAACAGCGCCAGAAAGCATGACAATGACTGCATGCAAACCCGATTTACATACCCAACTAAACCGCAATTACATTACTATGAATTCTGTGTATGTGGAGACCGTCAAGCGAGGCATGGGCTGAACTGAGGCTGTACTCGTTCGGAGGTGTCGCACAGGAGCGCCTTCGATTCATCATGGATGGTGTAATGCAGGTGCAAGCGACGGAGATTGTGCAGGTGGGGATCAGAGATCTCTTCGCTTGAATTTTGCCAAGGATTGCAGCACACAGTATGGCTACCCAAGTCGTCCGGTACCACTGTAGCGGCAATGGTTCCATCAGCCACGTACCTGAAGATCGGTTCCAAACCACTGCAACCCGCAACCCTCTATGGTGTCGAACTTCGACGAAACTGATCTCTATGATTGGGGTGAGTAGCATCTCCTGCAGCTTGTTGAGGGCCACTGCCCAGAGGGACCTGCCACATCGTGTTTGGAACTTATGGGAGATTGCCCGACACTCGACATAACAACATGCCCGCAGTTTCAGTGCCCTGCAAGAACTGCCTGCAGATGATGGCTGCAGGGTTTTCAAAGCAAGCTGACAACGAGCGTCGGTTTAAGTCAATTTTTGTTCTCGTGCTTGCAGCCCCCCACCCAGAGCAGAAAAACACAGAAACACTGTAAAAGCTAAAAGCTACGCAATTCTTCAGCCGTGAATCCGCGAAGCAGTTCCAAATGCTGCTAGTAGCAGGAAGGTGCAGCGCTCAATGAAGGACTCTATGCCTACAGTGCTGTACACTTCTGAAGAATCCACTGGCCTTCTAGCGGAAGCAGCAATGCCAGAACCTTCAGACCCAGGGCTCTGGTTCCAACTTGCTTTGAGGATAGCGCCAGCTCGGCCATTCGTGGTGAGCATACACGTTAGGCTGAAAGACAGGGACTGGCAAGGGAATGTGCACGATTTCTTGCCATCTACCCAAAAAAGCCCTGCTCGAAAAAGATGGTCCCGACCCTCCATCCCTTGCGCCAGAAATTCCGAGCTTCCAAATCTCTGAGTTGCGAACTGAGGTGGTAGGTGTTCACCTACCGGCGAGTAGCTCTTCTGCACTATGTCTGCTCAGAGTGGCGACTTGAAAAGTTGAAAGCCACTCCTGACGGATTTCACACCGGCACAAGCATGAAAGTTGGAAAGCCGTCTAGTCTGCCTCTGAGCAGACGGTTTCTGATGTCAGGAAGTATCTTCCTCAAGAGCGAACACAAGACATCCAAACAACAGTCGCATCAACATGCAGTGATGAATGCGCAGCCGCCCCAACAACTCTCAACCTCTCCTTGGGGTGATCTAGACTACTTTGCAAGAGCAGATCTGATATTCGATCCCGGATGGCAAGCCCGAACCCGGAGGAAGACAGCACTGCGGCCTCTAGAGCTGACCTCCGCAAACTGCTGATCCTTCCAGGAGTCGTAATGATGGCAAGGGTCTATGGGGCGAATGGGGTCTGGGCACATCGTCAGACGAGCCTAGCCATAATTATGCATTGTAGCATCGGCGATAAGCCGATAAGCACTATCAGAAATAGCAATGTGATCAGCCTCAGCTGCCAAGCCTTATCGTAAGAACTATTAAATAGCATTTGCATCAGCGCAGCGTCAGCATAGCACAGCGTGGCGTTGCATTCCATTACATTGCATGCAAACACACGCCCTCATCCATCTCATGCCAGTCATTTACAACACGGTACAGTAACTCCCGTGATATGGTCGTGCCGGTCGATGGCTGCATCACAGACAGCTTGGAACTAAAACACATATCCAGCCACAAAGGGGCACATTCGCAAGGATACAGGTACAGGACTAAGGATAAGTCGTTGTGAGCATGACACATCTGATTCTCTCTGCCCCTCAAGCTGTTCGTTTGCAATCCGAGCATGCCGACCAAGGGGCACGTGGGCCAGGGAGTCATCCCAGCCTCATGCAAATAACAAGCGACCAGCTCCGGCCCCTTCTGCAACACCGACTGGGCGAGAAGGCCCACAGTGAGAGAAAACCGGTGAGCAAGCCCACTCCGAACGCTCCAAAAACTTTGAAAGAATCCTTGCTTTTGGGTGACCTCGTCTTGCCAATGCAGTCAGCACCTCTGTAACCGACCTGGGGCGAGTATCCACAGGAGCTGTACCGTACAGTCTACGTCTACGTGGTTCCTGACTCCAACTCGCAGCCTCGCAGGCTACAAACTTCTCACGGCCGCCCCGTTCTCAACACAGCGGATCTAGAAAAGACCAATTCAATTTTCACCCGAGGCACACCGTGGCTAGCGACTGCTTACCTGCTTACTTCAAGAACTCTCCATCTCCCCCTCACGCCGCTCTTGTTCACAGTGAAAGGATGTTGGCCTTTGCTTCCTAATTAATGTCGCACATAGCCTGAACTGGAACATCAGGGCCCGGTGTTCAGGTTGGAAAATCGAAAACCATCAACAAGTCGCCAAGTGGCTTCGGCTGATGGCACAATTTATGGGCAAATGTCCAAACTTGCTGCTCCACCTCCTGTAGGGGATGCGGGGATGCTTATCTTTAGCATCCATGTGGCTCCACCGTGAAGACTGTGACATCTTCTTGCCGCACATATTGTGCAGCAATCTGTCCAGGCTGGACGTACTGGCGATTTTGACAAGCTTCGTTTATTCGTTGATTTGCAACTTGTGGAAATGCAGTGCCTCTGTACAGCTGAAGCGACCTCGCAGTCCTTCGTTATGATATCAACGCATCAAGCCTGTAAAGCCAACTTGTTATCCTGAGTCCTCAGTTTCAACAATCCAAGTCTCGACGGCTATACTGCTCATGGTTTTTTGGCACGACCGCCGCCGCTCCTTGCACGTGGCCTTCTCTCCCAAAGCAAACAGACGAGTGCACAGCTCCGCTTGCGCATCGTACCTTGCCGAGGGCGTCTGGAAGCTAGCGCCACCGGAAATTCCGCTGGCAACTGATGGGAATGAGAGTGACAAGCGTGATATGAACTTGACCATGAACATGAACAGGACGAAAACTACAAACTTCTCCGTGTTGCTCTGACTATCGCTGTTACTACTATCCGTGTTGCCGTGCTTTGCTTTTGAAAGGATATTCAAGGAAGCTAAGGGTATCTAAGGTCGGGAAGGCTGATGTATGGTGATGTATGCAGGCTGGTGGTTGTGGTCCCCGAGACTCTACATTTTCCAGAGTAGCGAACACTCCCTTTTCTGCAAGAGTTCCTTCCTACCGGAGCCCCGTATAGTAGTTCTGCTACGAGACATTGGCATCTCTCGGGAGCGTATTCTGTCCTCATGGAGAGAGGTCACGCCTGCTGTTATGATGCTACACCTCCTAACAACAGTCAGGAAAAAGGAACCCGAACGAACCCGACTCGAGCAGAATGTACTAAAATGGAGCCTGCTTTCTCGGCAGTAGAGCTCCACTTGCAGCCATGTGGCTGTCCGCCGCCGGCTTGCCACGGCACTTCGGTCGAACTCGAGCTGCCGCCCGAAAGGGGCATACGCTCGTGGACATTGCCATGGCAAACGTGTTTACTTACACTTTGGAAGCTGATGATGACAGTAAGGAAGGCGGTCATGATGATGGCCGTGAACGAATTGGTGAAGACGATGGCGATGATCACCATGATGGCGGTCATGGTTCTTTTTCGTCTCTATGTACCGCAGCTTCGGCTAGCATACCAGCACCCGTAGCTGTGATGTGTGATGTGTGGTCGCTTCGCAGCTGTAGACAGATCCAAAACAGCCGTGCTTCGGGCACAAGCATGCGGGCGATCTCGAACGAAGCCGTCAGAGTTTCCGAGCTGAAGGAAGCTGGCAGGCCATCAACATCGCGGATTTCTAGTGGTCAATCCGTTGACCCCAGCTGCGTGGCCATGCATTGGCCCGTAGCAACATTGGCAAACAGGTGTGGCTTGGCCAGCAAGTATTAACGCCTGTGGCCAAGCACATGTTCGTGCTTCACGGCCTGTGCATTGGCAACATTAATCTGGCCAACGGGGAGGAGACGAGCGGGCCAAGCACATTCGATGTCCATACTCCTGAAGGCCCATTCTAACAAACCCGAAACTTTATGCTGCCATACAACCATGATTTTCCTGCCACCGGTGTTCTCACTCCGAAGGACAGTCAGGCAGTCACCGGCTCAGTTGAGGGCGGAGTCGGCAAAGGCCTGAATCATGGTTCGGTAGGCACAGGCCCGAAACATGTTCAGCCCGTCGCAACTACTCGCACATACCAAGAAGATGGCTGCGTGCTGCCTTCGAAGGCGTAGGCATTCGATGGTCTTTGAGTACATGGCTTCATGGAAGAGAGACTATGGAGAAGTCCTATGGGTCCCTGAGGGGCCCCTGGCCTGGGCCAGGGAGCTGCCGACTTCGGTGATGTCGCCTCTCATACGCCAAGTACATGCTACCAGTAGCGAGGAGCTTTGATTCTGCCAGGGATGAGCTAGCGATTGGCACACTTCTCGCTCTGCTTGACAGATCTTGAGGTTGGCTGTTGCTTCCAAAGCGACGTGATGTTGTAGCGCCTGCAGCCCCGCGAGTTATTGCAGAATATGGCAGAAGCGCGTGCATGCTGGGGAATGCACTAGCAGGAATGACGGGAGATCGGAAATAAGGCAGCAGTGTTGAACTCGGCAGCCCACCTGCCGGCCAAATCGCTACTCGTGGTCATCGCCGTCGTAGCAGCAGCAGCAGCAGCAGAAACAGCCAATACTGTAGGAGTCAACAGAGTGAAGCGGTCGCCCTCCATGATCGCCGGAACTGGACGACAACACCCTGCAGCAGATCATAAAGAGACCCCCTTGCAGATGCCTGCAGGCAGTGAACGGCTGAAACTCGTAAAGCTGACTGCTTCGAGGTGTTCGGGGGACTATTGCAAAGTTGTGCCGGATGGAAACCCTGATGTCCCAAACGGGATAACGAAGCGCGAATCCACAGCTTCAGGGCGAAAAATTTAGAAGCTTCAAGCCTTATAGTTCCTATTAAGTGCTGCCCGATCCATGAACACCGGTTTTTCTTTTGAGTGGTGGCTTCACGAATGTAGGAAAAGCAATGCTGGCAAACAGTCTGAGACTACAGGAATTTCTGGCCTGGACAATTCCCAGCGCCACCGCTGCATGGAATCGTACATCATCGTCAGCATCACTTGCAGATGCCTGCTGCAAGACCTGCGACAGTTCTGCTCTTTCCCCCAGGCCCTCGACCCCGTAGGCAATACAAGCTCAGAAAGTTTGGCCCCCAAGATAAACCACTCGAGCCACTAGGATCTACGTAGGCATCTTCGGAGCCGGCCAGAAGGTCTGGAGGTCATGGTCGGACGGTCGCGACGGCAAGGAAGACTCTGCAAGGCTATGGAAAAAGGAGTCACTCCCCCTTGCACAGCTGGTCCGCGCACACTGTGCTCTGATTGCGAAACTCTGCAAGCATCCGCATGCTGCTGCCTATACCCATCCTAAACCCTAAAACCAACATCCCCAAGACGTCAAGCCCTAAGCATCCCTGAACCCACCTCCTCCTGGTCTGCTGCTAGTTTCCCCAGATTGCCCAAGGCGATAGCCGCTGCGCGGCGCACACCGGGATCGGAGTCTTTCCTCGAATCCAGAAAACAAAACCCAGAACAACCCCCATCTTTAAGTTTAGTTTAGTTGTTGCTGCTTGCTTGGAGAAGGCTTTGGGAGTATATGCAGCATCCGCAAGATTATGCAAGTAAGTCTACATCAGAGCACCCGTCATAAAAATGTGCCGCAGCAACTGCGGACGAGAAGCAAAGAATAACACAAACAGGCAGACAAACGGCCGGACAGCCAAACATAAACTTACAAGTGAATAGCTATAGGGCTAAGTGCACTAAAATATCCGAATGCAAGAAACCGACATGGATGACATAACCACAAATCATAGATGTGCAGTATGCAACCCACTACGTGCATGTCACGATATCATCGCCGCAACAAGGCACAGCCCCTAACGTCGGCTTCATCAGACTGCGTGCTTCAACTTCCCCATGAGCCGAGAGACATCAGCGCAGCCAGCGCCCCCGCATGCGTTGCTCCTCTGAGGCCCAGGGAACCTAAGGCCAATGCCGCAGCTTGGCGAACCTAGGGTCATAAGATGCTCATCGGAATGATAAAGAAAGTGCACCTATGTCTCTCTCTCTCTCTCTCTCTCTTTCTCTCTGTCTCTCTCTCCATCTCTCTCGATATCTAAATAAATCTGTACACACACACATATATATGTATATATATATACACACACACGGTATACCTACACAAAGATAGTAATTGTTTATGGTCTGGTTCGCATAAACAGGCTGACCCTGAAGAGTGCCAAGTGGCTCTGACACTGTCGTGGTGCAAGCCCGCTGCCACTGTCTCCACATGCTCGTGGCTCGCGGCCTCCACAACTTCTCAAGAGACTGGCCAGCTACGGTGGGCCTTGCAGGCTGCAGGTTGGTGCCCATGCCAAGGGCTCCAGTTTACACCGGAAAGCATCGATGTACAAAGACTTTAAGCCCACTTCTACGGTCTGAAAGCAACGGAGGGGACCGGGCAACAAGTAGCTTCAAAGCCTTGTGGCTGCTGGCGTCTTGAGGGAGCTCCTGGAGCGTCGAACAATCTCTCTTACCTATAAAATGCTGGGTTAGTGTTATTCTATATGGTTTTGTGTTTGTTAAAGGCGCAAAACCACTATCCACATATAACTGGGTTGATAGAATCGGCATGATGGCACACAACGCATCTCAGCCAACCACAACACAAATGTTCAAGAAGTTGAACATTGTGCACCGTGTTTGATGTTTCTGGTGAAAGTTGCTGCTATCAGCTACCAGGATTTGCCCTCTAGTATTGCATGTATTGAGGGTTGCTGATGCTGGCACTGTCACTACGGCGGCCGCAACTCATTCAGATCTACAGCAGATAGCTAATTCCATCACTCTGAACTGCTTGACAATTTTGGGCTATCTCGTTGTCGATGGGTAGCATGACGGATACTGCAGCTCGCTCTCATGATTTACTTTCTGCACTGGTCAGCGAGCGGCCTGCGCCACCACTTCATCCGGCAGCAGCCGCTTCTCCGGAGCATAGGCAAAGCGTTTTGTCTGCTCCTGGTATGGTTTGGGGTCGGACAAGCAAGGCGAGGTCAAACAGATGCTGCAAGCTTCGCGTCTCCGGAGAACCCTGTTCATTTTGTAAGTCGCGGCACTCTGACATCGAAGCGGTCGCATGAATCCACGTTTGTGACGATGCGAAAAGCATGGGTTCCCAGTCTCTGCCGGGTAAATAACATGGTGCGACACATCACTTTCATGCCCTTGTCAGCACAAAGCGCTGGTCACGCCAACCTTCTTCTAAATAGTTTACGACGGACAGGTGGTGGCACAATGTGGTCGCCCCTGCGGACGGCAAACCTTTCACAGGGGCGATGGCTGTACACGTCGCCAGAGTGGGTCGTTCTCAACAATACTCTGAAAGCAATGTTTCCCGAAAGAAACACGCAGAGGTGCGAAGCACCACTGTACAAAGGGTTTTCTCAAAATTGGACATTGTATAGTGGCGACTTGCCAAGTGTGACAATCACTACACGTCCTGTACACGTTGAAGCCGGAAACTAAAATGACCGGCTTTGCAACCAAACTCCAACATCGCAGTAGCTCAGACACTGTATCTCTTCGCATGCTTTTTTCTCTGGAAATGGCTGGAGACACCAGCAAAACATTGTCCAGCCAGGCAGAACACATGCAAGAGGTGGCCAAGACCCTTTCGCAAATATTTAAGCCTGGCCTCTACTGCGTATACTGTAGCCCTCCGGCTCCAGTAAGGACTTCCAGTCCAACAACCATACGGTAGAAGACCGATGTGTTGCCCTCGCTAGACCAACATCCTCAGGAACATGAAAACCAAGCAGGGCAAAGGGAAGAGCCCGCTTGCACGGGACGTCCTTTCTGCCAACTCCTCGAGCTCTGCCAGGCTCACGTCCGCGGCTCGGATACCGTGCACCTGCACCTCCTTCATGCTGCATCCGGTAGTGCCTTCGTTGTGGCATGTCACTTTCAACCACTGCCCAAGAATGCTGGGAAGGTTGTTGTAGTTGCGGTAGTCCGCAGACGGCGTCATCTCATCGAACACCGGTGCCCAGTTCACGCCATCGGAGCTGACCTCAAGACCGTAGCTGGCTGGCACGGCATCGCCCCACAGGATGACCCCGCCCTCCAAGACGTAGCTGCCCAGCAGGTCGATCAAGATCCATTCCGTTTGGCCTCCCGCAGAAGCCCAGCGGGTGCCCTCGTCGCCATCGTTCGCACGTGCTGCATACTCTGTGGGCGACCGCTGCGAAGAGGCTCGGATGGGCTTCCTGAAAGCAATGTTGGGAGGAAGTGTGGTGGTGACGGTCATGGTCGATGTGGAAGTGTTCTCAGAATGAGGACCCGTCCAGTTCGAGGTTGTCGGCAGCGCTGCATCTGTGGTGCTAGCTTCCGATGTCTCGGAGCTGGATCCAGTCGTTGAGGCTGCGCTCGTGCTCTGCGTGGTGCTTGAGGTCGTCGCTGGTGGGCCAGAGTTGTACACCTCAAGCTCCCGAATGCTGCAGCCGGTCGAAGACCCTAGGTCAGTACAGAGGACCCTCAAAAACTGCAAGTTCACCGGGTTGAAGACCACCCGCACCTCGCTGTTGGCCTGTCCTGCTGCCGTGATAATAGGGGTCCAATGAGCTGCGCTGTACCCAGCCTCCAGGCGGAACTCTGCCGGAGATTCCGACCCCCACGAAATCAGCACCTCAGAAACGTCATGGCGTCCACGAAGGTCCACCCAAAGCCAGGGCATCTGGTCTCCGGGCAGCGATGACCACTGGGTTGTCAGGGAGCCATCCGCAGCCCGGGTTTGAAACAATCCACTTGAGGCAAGGGCCGGCTGGTTCAGTGCCAAATTCACAGTCACAGCAGGCCGAGAGCCAGTGGTCGCTGCACCAGTGCTCGTGGTGGCTTCGGTGCCATGCGTTGTGCCACCTGCTGTAGGCGTCGTTGTGACCGTTGTGGAGAGGTAGCTGGGGTCCGTCCCGAAGATGCGCAGCTCGTCGATGCTGCCGCAACCTGTGTCGGAGTGGCAGAAGATTCGAATCCACTGCCCTGTGACTTGCTGAGGAAAAGTGGTCCGAACGGCGCCTGCCATGCCTGTCTCCACAGCCGCTGTCGTCCAGTCGATCCCATTGGGAGCTGTTTGAATGGAATATTGGTTTGGGAAGTCCGAGCCCCACAGAACCAACACCGATGTGAGATCGTAGGCCCCCAGCAGGTCCACCCAAATCCACTGCTCCGGCGCAAGTGCAGATGCCCAGTGCGTCTCAAGCATACCATCCACTGCACGGAAAGCAAACTCTGTAGGCGAACGGAAGGAGGATGCGAGCACCGGCTTGCCCTGCGCGAGGTTCAGGCCATCGAAGGGCGTGGTGGTTGTAGTAGAAGTGCCAGTCTCAACCAGCTCTGTAGTCGTCGTCGTCGTCTCTGTGTCCAGTGTTCCGTAGACCTGGAACTCGAAGACGCGAAGCTCCGAGCCGCCGTGGCAAAGCAAGCGCAGCCAGCTCACCGAGTCCGAGCCTTGCAGCTCGGTCTGCACTGCGCCGGCGCGGCCCACCTGTGATGCCAAGGTCACCCAGGTGTTACCGCTTCCCTTGGTTTGGATATCATAGCCGCTTGGGTAGAACTCCTGCCACACCACAACAATGTGGGAAAGCTGGTAGATGCCATCCAGCTCAACAGCGATCCATGGAACCACATCGTCAGCTGCCGGACTCCACCGCGTGGTGAACAAGCCGTCCACAGCCCACATGGAGGTGAAAGTAGGTGCTTCACTGGAAGCTTCAGTGCGCCTTTCCAAAGCCAGGTTGACTGGCGGGATGCCCGGTGGGTTCGTGGATGTCTCCACAGATGTCGTTGTCGTGGTAGTCGTGCTTGTGGTTGTTGTGGTTGTTGTCGTTGTTGTGGTTGTCGTCGTGGTGGGTGCCAGGAAGGATGTGGAGGATGCCACCGTGATCGTGGTCGAGGGTGCGGTTCCCGAGGCGTTCGTAGTCGTAGTCGTAGTGGCAGGGGGCGTGCCAGATGCAGCCGTGGCAGCCCAGTACAATGCCCAAACCTTGGTAAGGCCGTCATCCATGAAGGAGTCATCGATGTCCATCAGCCTGGCATATGCTTCTGCCGGGTCCACCAACGCCAAGGTGCCTGTAAGCAGGATCGACGTCCAAGGATCAGTCGACGGCAGGGCAAGATGAGACAGGATATTATTCCACTCCTGGGCGCAGAACTCTGTCGTGCGCGAAAGGAGCAGAGCTGGAGACAGTGGAAGCATTTGAATGTCGTGGATGTACTCGTAGCGCCAACCGAACCATGTCGCATAGTCAACCTTGTTCTGGAAGAAGATGCCCGTAACATGATTCTTGACAAAGTCTGGTGGATGATGAATGTTGTCTGACTTCATAAGGAAGAACTCCTTCACCGTGAAGGCACACAGGGCAAGCATGGTCGCTCCGAGGTCTCGCAGGGCAGGCTTCTGCATGACGGAGCCCCAGAGCTTGATTCCATAGAGCAGGTTCAGCTCTTCGGAAGTGGACTCCTGATCTTTACCGTCCGCACTCGGGACGACCCCGCGGCTCCAAGAGTGAAGGTCAAACCAATCGAAGGCGCGGAAAGTCGTAAAGTATGGGTCATCTCGGCTTGGGTTTGCAGTGTCCCGGATCAGCGTCTCAACGAAAGACACGAAGGGCACGTTGGTCGCAAACTCCGGCTTGAGCTTTACGAGGATGGCAGCAGAAACGACGTAGTAGGCGAAATGGTAATGGTGGTCATTGTAGCATGCATTCCCGAAGTCGGCGTTGCGGCAACCAAGCTCTCCGTAGCCCTCCCGGCTGGCAACTCCTCCCCAGGAATCGTCGTAGTAGGCACCTATCGGAGCGCCATCGCATCCCAGAAGACTTCGGTCGTAGAGGCACCGGAATCCCTTCGCCAAAATCTCCGCACAGGCCTGCGTCTCCCCGTGATTGGTTCCGTGGAACTTCTCCAGCAGCAGGCAAACATAGGCAACCTTCTGGAAACCCTTCCCACTGAAATAATAGCTCCCACGGAACATTGCCAGCTTCCAGTTGTCGGAATCCAGGAACCACTGCGAGGTCCCGATGGCCTTCTCTGCCAAGAAGTCAGCGTGCTCTGCAGCCGGTTCGTTCGCTGGCAGAAACCCGAGCTGAAGGACCTCCGTGGTATCGATGTCCATGACCCAGGAATCACCAACCACACCCAACATCATGCCTTTGGTTGGTGGCCGCAAAGGTGTCAGGGCGGACACCTCTTGGGTGTCCCCAACAAGCATCTTCTCATGGTGGGCATAGCAGAAGTGCAGGACCGGGACATTCTGCAGGCCGCTTTTCGAGAAATGATACGTTAAAGTGCCCAGCTCCACGTCCATGTCCCAATCTGAGAGAATAGCTCCGGCATGCTGGTCAAGAACTTCCACGTCGCCTGCTGCCTGAACCTCAGCGAGACGCAGCCATCCCTCGAAAGGCTTGTTCATCAGGCCTTGGCTGTTGAACTGGTAGGTTCCATCAGCAAACTCACCAGATGAGAGGATGGCATAGAGGCGGAACTCCCGGCCACCATTGTTTGTCAATCGCCAGACCCCATCCTGGATCGGATCGACTCCGAGCAGGGCCCTCTGAGAGGTGATCTTCGGGGTGAAGCCGCCCTCGTAAAAAGCTGACACGTAGGCCATGCCACTGTAGATAGGGAAAGTCATCTTCCGAGATGTTCCTTCCGGGCCCCGAAGCTCCGCGTGGATGCCGAAGAGGCCTTCTTTGACGACAACCGGGCCCTCCATGCCGGTGTTTTCGAGGGCTCCAAGGCCGAACTCGTTGATAACCGGCGAGAAGTAGTAACGGATCTTGTCTGGGCCGTTAGAATCAGCATCGCCATAGGCGACGTGAGGAGATTGGCTGCGTGAGACCTTGAGGTTCGGTGCTTCTCCTGGCTGCGATCCAAACTGCAAGACGTAGGGCATGGGGTGGATGGCAAGGCCACGTCCCTCTTCCACCACCCAGTTCGCCCAGAACTTGTTCGTCGCCTTTGGACCAGAAATCTCTGTGCCAAATGGTGGCAGGTGATGCTGCACCGGAGCAGCCGGGAAGGTGGTGCTGTTTGGCAGCTGAGTGGAGAGTGGCTGGAGCAACGATGCGCTGGAAGCTGTCTGGACTACGGTCGCCAGCAGCGTCACCAGAAGTCGAATGCCAATGGGATGATTCGACATGATTTGATAGGAGGGCAAGGGATGTGGGTGCTTGGAGTCTTGTGCCAGAGCAACTTGTACTTGGGTTTGTTTCAGCTCACACATGACTCTTGCTGGTGCTCGTGCCCAGTCTTCTGCTAGAATGCTAGAAGGAAACATCGGACCTACCAACGTATGATATTATGTGTATAATGGTATAAAACGTATATACATATATACACACATACCTACCTATGTATAAAGATATGTACGAAACAACAAGCAAACAACCAAACATATATGCATCCATACATAGATGCATGCCTGCATTTACGCAAGCAAACATACATGTAGTTCATGGAAGAATGGTGATGTCAGTCATCGCCATCGTAACCAAAAGCACATCCATGATACTTACCACCACCGCCATGAAACGGAAACACCGACTGCAACCATGATGGTTACGCTGATCATAACGCTAGTTATATACGAGTACAGGTAAGCTAACTATCCTTATGACAACGAGACAACGGTGTATATACGTATAGAGAGAGAGACAACGGACAAACAATTACACACCCAACAACGAAACACACACACACACATACATACATATATATATATATACACACACATATACACATACGCAAGCACATCCACGAAAAAATTGCTGTACTAGTACAAACACAAAACACTCACTGTCACTCTGCGTGTGCCTGCATGTGTGTATGTGCAAACAAACGAACAAACAAATTCAAATGAGAAACAAACCAACGCACAAATAAATATCTATGCAACTCTATTTATATATATATATATACACACACACGTTTCTCTGACTGACTGTCTGTCTGTCTGTCCGCATGTCTGCTTGTATGTGTGTATGTCTGTATGTCGAAAAAACAGCCGACTACTCTTCACAAGTCCAGTCCTGTCTCGGCTTCGGGCTGATGCGGCTCGAAGGCCTCACAAGTAAACAGCGAAGCATACAGGGCTGTTCTTCATCATGCTGCCTACGATCCTATAGGTAGAGGATCATAAACTCCCAGAGCAAGCCCGAAACCTTTCTCATCTCATTCCAGGGCTTTTGCACTCTCCTCTCACTGTGGTCTTGGTTTACGGCAAAGGCCGGCAAATCCGGAAGTTATAAGGGGAAGCACGAGACAAGCAGCCCAAAACTCCCACAGGAGCCGTTCTTGGGCTGCGGACGCTGCCCTCATCTGGTCCACGGCAGGCTTCCTGGTTGTGTCCCGTCTGTGTTCCGGTGTCAAGGAAAGGCTCTCAACCTTTTAATTCAGTAACGGGGGAAGGAGGCCGAATTTCGAAAACAAAGGAGTCTACTTCTAGTTTTCTGCACTCGGCCCTAGTTCCGAAACCACAGGCCATGGGCCTCTGCCATGGGCCCTAAACTCTAAACCCTACTTTAATCATCTCAAGGATCGCGAGGTTTCTGGGACCGTGCGGTGCTCTTAAAGCTTGGACTCCTCAGGCTGACTCACATGGGGGTTCTCCGAAAATAGGGGACCCTAATATAGCAGCCTAAATGGTAGGATCCTTATCCTTATTCTAAGGACCCCAAAATAAGGTACCCCTAGTTGTCGGAAAGTCCCATATGATCAAGCCCATTGCTCAAAGGATAGGACGGATAGGAACCAGGCACTCGAGAAGTAGTGATATGCAATACGAATACATGAAGCCAGGAACTAAGTTCCGAGCCAAACTTGAAGGGCTTGCATCCGTGCCCGCCATAATTTAAAACAAAAACACACAAAAGAAAGCAAACCTCTCAATGCTCGCTGCGCCTCGGAGGAGGGGACACAGAGCCGTCTTGGGCCGGTCTTCCCATATTGGGAAGAGTCCTAGGCTTCTGGAGCCAGTCGGACAAGGAACTTGGAGACGTCGGCACACCAGGACCGAGGGCAAGATCCCGACAAACAACACTCCTCTATAATGTAGGGGCCTCAATGATAAGAATAGGCTTTTGTGGTATATCATACTGTAATCGTAGTAGTGAACCCCCCCAATCATAATAGCTCTGGCTGTGGTAGCCCAGTGGCAGACTCGGGGCGTTGGTGACGCTCGGGGCACCGGACTTCTGCCCTGCCAGAAGGGATGCACGAGGTGAGGGCAAAGGCCCCTGACCTCAGGGCCATGGCACATCAAAATGACCGGTTCAGGGTTGGGTTCAGGGTTTTTGGGGCGTTTGAGCAGATGCCGCTTGCATGCTCGAAGTCGGTCAAGATGTTGGGAACACTCCTTGTTGTGCCCGTGTTAAGCAAATCGGGCCGGGAAACCGTCCAGACAGGGGTTGGGAAGCGGAAACCCATCCTATGTATGTTGACTGATGGGGAGCAAAAGCCTGCAATAGGACCATCTGCTTTCATGTCTTGACCTGGGCCTCTTTGGGTGTCACTGATCTTCCATCAGTAGAAGCGAACTGGCTAAAACGCACAAATTTCCCTCCGACTTTGCACCTCCGCAACCTCCCCAGTCGGTCGGTCTTCTTGCAGTAGCGGCCCACGAGGCAGAACTATGCCTGCCAAGAGCTCGCTAGGCTGGACTTGTTTTCCAAGCGTGTCACAATTCGATCGCACAGACTTGCCGGCTGCTAAGCCAGAATCCGTTAATCCTCGCAAATACTGTCATGCATCAGGATGTTGCGCAGTCCGTATAGCATAGACCTTAGCATGGACATGACGCCCACATCTCCCACCTGGGAGCTCTGACAGTTTTGGCCATGAGGCGATTCAGATAGCCCCTGGAGAGCTTGCCTGGAGCTTAGAAACAAGCTCGGAAACATGCGTCATACAAAACTCGCACTACTTGCCAGTATCTTAATCTTTGTTGACAATCGATACTGAGAAGCAGTACCAGCAGTAGAAATAGCCGAAACCACAAACAACTCCTGCAGCTGCTCCTGCTGCTCCTGCTCCTCCTCCTTCACACTCGTAAACTGCTTGAACTTCTAGAACTACGATCATAGTTACATACAAAACGACGACGTCAACGACGACGTCGACTACTACCACTACTACCCCTAAGACTACTGTATTAATGTCAACAACACGCAGGAAGATCAGAAGGACGACAACGACCGCGACGAAGAAGATTCAAACTGAGGGCACTAGTGACGAGGGTTGATGCTGCCAGTATATCCTTTCGGCATTAGAGTTAACTACTTGACGTGGATTCCTTGCCAGCTCGTGGTGACTGCGACTACCACAGGATATCATTGTCTTACACAACCTTGTTCACAGATCAGGGGCTCTCTAGCTCCAACCAAAACTCCAACTTCCGACTGCACCTCCGATCCTCTGTCTTGGCATGGCATGGTGCTACGGTCCCATAAAGCATAACTTGAGAAGGCAGCTTATGCAAAACAACTTCGAAGAAGTCGCACATGGTGACGACGGCCGCACTGCACACCGCCTAAGGGCTCGCCTCCATCGGAACTTTGGCCGCGGGCGGCGCTGCGCCAGCGTCGCGTTCCCTGAGCCAGCGCGAGCGAATAGAAGCTGCACTTGAGCACACATCCCACTAGCAACGGTACCAGAACGGTCTCAGGGAGTTCCAACTGCAGCTGGCACCGCTCAGTATAGGTTCTCGTACAGGGTGCTCACTTTCGGAAATGATCCATGCTCTGCTGCAGACATCGACAACAGTTGCAGCTTCATGCACGGCACCATGGAGTCTTTAACTAGGCCCAGCTTCGCTATAACTTTCGACATAGCAACTAGCATGCAGCCTCCTGCAGAGTTGAGATGTGCCGGGCCCACCGGGATTGGCATCTAATCTAGTCTCCGTTCAATTCTGCATCATCACAATATAGTCTATAACCCATAAAGATTGCAAAACCCAAGGACTGGCTAGCTGTCCGACTCGGAACTGTGGCTGGCACCTCAGCCGACTCCAAGCGAGAGCTGGTGGGCTGCTCGCTGTGAACGACGTGCAGTGTTTGTGGCCTCATGTCAGGGCAGACATGATGATGTGTATATATATATATATTGTGTATGTATATGTATATGTATATGTATATGTATATGTATATGTATATGTATCTATGTATGCGTGTGTACCTAGCCCTTAAGACAATGCACACGCATTTGCAAGCACCTGCAAGTGTTCTTGACGCTGCCGTTCCTTCACTTTCGTCGGTCGTTCCCAGATTGCATGTAAGCGGTCAGTACAAAACACATAAATATATATAGATAATAAATATATATATATATCTGCTGAATCCATGCAGGGTCTGACCCCCACCTGTTGCAGTTCGCACCGGGTCTGCCAGAAATGTGCTCGCTGATTGCAGGCTGATGGAACACGGCTGGTAAGATCTACAGGATGTGTGTGCGCATCTATATCAGTACATACATATATAACAAAGCTTTTAAGCTTTTTCAATATATACACATATAAAGATGCATGTATACCTGTGCGCATATATATATATATATATGTGTGTGTGTGTGTGTGCGTGTATGTACATATGAATTTATACATGTCTGCCTGTATATATGCATGTGTGTCCACGCATGTGTGTGTGTATGTATATATGCACGGTGTGCGCGTGTATGTGTTTAAGTGTGTACATGTATGCGCGTGCGTACAGTTTGTAGATTGAGGACCTATGACTCTGTAGATGTACATATATATATATATACACACATAGGTATATATATATATACATACATATATATAGAGAGAGAGAGAGAGAAAAAGGTTTGCAACTATGTTCTGAATTCACTGAACCCAACGACGGCAATTCGAAGCTCCTAACACAGGAAGAAGACCGAAGACCCCCTCACTGAGTTGCCCTCCTACCCTCACCTTGGAATGTATGTTCGTTTATGATCTTTTGTCGCATCGGGGGCATGCAAGGGCCTAGCTAGACACATTTGTAGTCATCACCGCAACCGAGGGCGTTGTACCTTGTAAGCACAGAAGCCTGGAAAGTCCGACCCTCTGGATCATATCCCGGCCATGATGGAGGACACGTGCCTAATTTCTGAAGGCCAGAAGTGCCTCTTGCATCCGAGGCTCATGGAGGCTTGCTTCCTCGAGGGACCTGGCTGCAGATATTCACGCTGCACCAACGGCACGCATGGCATGTCCACGATGGCGACGCTGAACTGAACGAGTGAACATCTCGCGGGCTTTCGCATGACCTGAACAGGCCCAAACCCAAACGGGTGATCAGAAAAAGGCCTGATCCAGCTCGAGGTGAAGCTCGCAACTTGATCCTGGCAACTCGGCAGGGCGTTAAGGCTCTGATCTGGGAGCTTGAAACATCGCCGAGATGAGGCAAACATGTGAGGCTCTTAAGGGAAATCCAACCCTTCGGAAAAGCTTCTGGATCACTACAACATGTCCGGTATGGCCCCAATGCATTGCATTAAAATGGCATGCCAAATTCCAAGCTGGTTAGATACCCAACCCCGGAACCAAAGCGTTTCCCCCTCCAAGCTGCGAGAGGATTGATGCGAAACTTCAACCATGAGCTAGTTTCTCGAAGGCCGCATCAGGTGCAGGACTCGGCACTAAGGCGCGCGACTTTGCGAAAGGCTGAGCCTCTGGACTGAATTAGGGTTTGACTGGCTTGTCAAGCCGAGCTCTGCACGCTTGACGTGACTCTTCAGATTACACTACACTGGCTTGCGACGACTCGTCCCTGATAGGTCGATCATTCGCAAGCAGCCAGCCCTCATGGAGGGCTCAGAGCAAGCCAGCGCCTGAGCCAAGGTGGACTTCAGCCCACATCTTATGACTCTGCTCTGCGTATCGCGCAGCTGGTGCAGGCTCAACGAACTCGAAGAGGAACTTGGCGCCCTTTTGGGCTTTGGGTGACGTCTCGTCCTCGACCCCTTTGCTCACCTCTTTCGGCGGTAGCATCTTTGTCACGCGCAGTCCCACACGCTCCCCAACGCGCCAGCTCCGGGCCTCGATGTCAGCAGGGACCAAAGTAACGCCTTCTTTGACCTTGTATTGCTGTGGGCAGCCTCGCAAACGCAAGTACACCTTCACCTCCATGGGGGGATCTGCCAGCTCCACATATGCGTGCTGCCCCTGCTTTTTGGCCCCGACGCCAAGAATGACGCCAATCCAAAGCGGGCGTTCCGATCGGGGTTTTCGGAGCTCTGGGACGCAAAGAGATCGTAAGGCAACCTCCTCCAAATCTCGACTGATCTTCTTCTGCCTTGTCTTGGCCTCGTTTCCGACTTGGATCACTCGAGCTCTCAGCACACTATCGTCGGCAGCAGGAATCCAGCCCATGGCCTGACCCAGCTCACAATGCGTAAAGCAGCCGACCAGCTCTCTCATTGGGGATGAGAAGCGTGCGTAGATGGCCTGGAGGGACTCGTGTAGACCGAGCTCAGCCTGGAACTTTGCAGGCTTGTTGCTCATCATGGCCCGGCGATTGATGGCCATGAATACACAATGCATGTCAGGATCCGCCTCGGTGAAGTACCACAAGCGCTTGAGGTATGCTGCTAAGGATTCCTTTCCATCCCGACTCCATCTCCACAAAGAGGCATCTAAGCCATGGACCCGGATCAAGTCGTCGATAAACGAGGTAAGGCAATCCAGGGTCTTCTCTGTGGGGGCATTCTGGGCACGAAAGATGGGCTCGATCTTCAGGTTTTGGGCTTCTGAGGAATATCTTTTCAGAAGCTCGGCCCCCTCGATGTTCACCATCAAGGAGATCTGTTCATTATACAGCTCGGTTCGGAGCTGCTCCTCCCTTACCACCATGATGGAGCCATCGTCGTTGATGCTCACATCATTCCGGTGCCGCTTGTATTCGACCACATTCCGCTCCCGGGCCAAGGCCCGGCGTAAGTTCCCCACTTTCTGTAGCAGCTGCAGAGTCTCCGCATACGGTTCGTGAAGGAAGTCGTGGCACTCTGGAGGCTTCCCTTCCAAGAAGTTCTCGACCCCTTGAAAAGTCAGTTTAGCATGACTGTAGATCTTGCCCCTCACGGCCTTGGTGCAAGTAACCTTCCCCTGAGAGTCCAGTTCCATCTCCATGCAAAGGGCTCTCCGGACCACCCTCTCATTGAGGGACATCGCATCTTCAGAGAGTACCCTGGGTAGCATCGGAACACAACACCTAGGCAAGTAGAAGCTCGAACCCCCTCTTTGCTCCAAAGCCTGCTTGAAGAGCAGGCTGTTTTGGGGCATATAGAAACAGCCATCTGCCAAGGCATAGGACACCAAGTATCCTTCACCCACTCGCTTGATAAAGATGGCCTGGTCCAAATCCCGGGTGTAGGGACCGTCGATGGTGACATAAGGCCAAGAGGTCCGATCTTCGAGGCTGGGATCATCTATGCCACTGCGTGGTGCGCTGGCGAGATCTTGGGCTTCGATCTCCACTTCGGCAGGAAAGGAAGGCTCCAGTCCATATTCCTGTCATGATCGAATCCCTCACGCATAACCAATAAACAAAGACATATGCAAAATAATTGTAAAACATATTGTGACCTAATTGTCTAACACTGTGCCGCGATATGCTCTTCCGGTCAGCTGCAAGACTTCTACCCAACGGCTCCTGGAGCAACTCCTGCACGACAGTCCCACGGGAAGGCACTCGCAGCAACTCGATGTTGCTCAGGCGAACTGACTGTGCGGCGAACTCCGAACAGGTGCGGCGAAGCACAGGTGGTGACATGGCATGATACTGCCGTATTTTTGGAAACCAGTAGCTGAGCAAAGCGGCAGCAACATGTACAACAAATGCC